GAACTAACCTTTCCAGATAGCTTTTAACTTGGTGGACAAATCCCTGCAGTGGTTGTTATGTAGAATATGCCACTTGCAAGGTTTGGGTGGGTCGTTAAATGGTGTTCACTCTGACTACACACTATCTGTCAACTACTACCTTTTAGGGAAAGCTACAGGAGACAACTTAGTACTCTACATAAACAGTTCAAAAACAATTGTTCTGTGTTAATTTCTGAAACACAAGATTATATTTTGACTTAGTGTCTAAGTTGTATCTTCAGACTTTGAATATGGAGTCTTAACACCAAAAGATTCAGGATATAAACTAATGTTGTAGCACAACTTACCCTCAGTAATTGCCAATAACTTATGAACTGTGAAAATGCAGAAGTAACGTGTGTGATATTTTTATTATAAAAGACGAAAAGTTCTTGAAAAATCAATCACTAGAATTTGTGAATGCCTTAGTGACACTAACGACTTCTAATAATACTTCACTGGTAATAATTTAAATTGTTTTTGATATAAAGAACATGAGCTAAATATAATTTGCTTATAGAATGCATTGAGTAAATCTTTCTACCAAGTCTAGGTATAATCAATTTGCTGACCTTCATCAACAAATTAAATCACTGGTGACCATATGGATGGCATTTTTCTGTAGAACTTTTTTATATTTTTCTATGCATGGAATATGAACACTACTGTAGATGGAGGCAGCATATAATCCAGGGATAATAGCAGCTTTTACACTATCTTTATTCAAAACCCAACTCTGCCACCATCTAGCTATGGGATTTTTGTCAAAATACTAAGTGTTGTCTCTTTTTCTAACTAGAAAAATAAATGCCCATAGGTTACTATAGATTCTCATCTAAAATAGTGGTGGCTATGGTGCTTGAAATTAAAAAAAATTTTTTTTTTCTTCTAGAAAGGCAATAGTGCATATCCTGTACCTGCAACCAACAGGTGCAACCAAGCTGTGATATCTGAAGAAACACCCCATAATGGCTCTGACATGTCTGCTGTAAAACCTTTGACTACTCAGTCACACTGAGTGGGCAAAGTAAAGGCATTCTAAGTATCGTATCACTGGAAGCCAAGGTTTTATTGCCCCAAATTACTAAAGCCAAAAACTTGTGATTTTCAAAATCTGTTAATTTTTTTTTAAATAATAGTTTATTTTTACATCATTTTGTGCCTTTTCCATCTTAGTTGTAATCCCCACGGGCTTCCCATCACCAAATTACCTGTGTGCACTCCCCCCACCCACCCCCCATTTTTATCCCATTCCCTACTCCACCCCCATAAAATGTCTCTGGTATATAGTTGTTTATTATTATTATTTTTTCCCCTGGTCCTTTATATTCCTGCTATGAGTGAAACCATCAGGTACAAAATCTGCAAAATTTTTAATTGTGAACAAGAGGCCATGGATCACATTTAAAAGACTTGAAAACCATTATTTTGATAAAGCACAAAAATAGTATTTGCTGTATGCTCATTTAGAACAATTAACTGATGATTCCTTCATAAATGATGGGGCACTTTATAAAGCTGTGACTGTGACTCTCAAGGCAAATTTAAAATATCCTGACTCTTGAACTCACATCTTCATTAACATCAAGGTTTGAAATGATGTTATCTTAGATGTTTGCAGGTTATTTGAATGTTAAAGAATGAAAAGATAATTTTAAATAAAATTCTTATAGTCGTAATCCCTTTTCAGATTAAGTGCAAACTTAGTATATATAGTCCCTTTTGCTTTAACTTTTGAAAATGTAAATTTGCTCTTACATACTGATTTTTTTGGGAACAATTTGGACATGATTTGTGTTTGTTTAGGTGTGATTTCATCCAAATCAAACTCTAGGTGGACATAGAAAAAAGGCACCCAGCTGAGCTGAGTCATGTAGTATGCAAAACACCTCACAAGAGCAAGAACAGAAGTCACATCTGGTGTTAACAATTTGTTTGATTTGAGATCATCCTCTTTCCACCACTTGCAGTAACTCACAAGCTGCTACTGCCCTTCAACACCCACTTCCTCAAGCAGACTTCAGTTCCTTCCCAAGGCAAAGTGCCACATGCTGTAATAATGTAGTACTTACCCAGTCCTTAATGTTTAATATGTGGGGAGCGGGTAACTGTTATATTAGGTTCTGGTCTTCGTGTCCGTGACAACCTTATGAGTATTGTCTCCCTAACCTCATTTATCTCTAAATCCTGTGGTTTTATTGCACAATTATGTGTAGTGTGATTTTTAGAAACACAAATATGCTTTATAGCAGAGTTATTGGTGGTGTATTTGTATTGTAGCCTCCTGTCAACATGAAGCACATAGTATCAATGCACATATGTATGGTAAATGCAGATTGTTCAGGCTTTTGTGCTGCTGGCCTGTTATCTGTGGCTTTGATTGCAGGAGGTGCTTGGAAGTGTGGGCTGAGGAGCGCATGCCTGATGGTGGACACTTGGAGTGTGGTGTGAGCATGCATGAATGGGTGCACCTGAGCTGGAGGCTGAGCACGAGTGTGGCAGAGTGCAGGGGCAGTGGTAGAGACCAGGAGAGAATGTTAGGCACCCTGCATACCTCCCTGCCCTCCACCTGGTTGATTCATTACAAATGACAGTGTAGAAAGCCCATTAAAAGCCTGAAAAAGTCACTGAGGACTCCAGGACTTTTCTTCACTGGTCTCCCACAGAGATAGAAAAACTGTTCTGAGCCTTTCTGCCACTACAACATAAGAACAAATTCCCCAACTAATTAAAAAAAAAGAGGTCTTACTTTAATAAAAGGATGAGCAACTAGCTGCATTTTTGATTCTTAAACAAGTATGCAGCGATAAGATGAACTAAATGCTTGTTGTGCCTTAAAACATTTTAAAAGGGGGAGACCCCACCAACAAACCATGGGCAAAAAGGGATACCACAATTGTGGAGATGTATGGTAAACGAATTTAGTGTTGTAACTATCTAATGGGTCATTCATTGTACTATCCTCACTTAAAAAATATTTTAAGAGTTTGATGTTTAAAAAAACTAGGGAACGACTGGGTTAAATCAGTATGATCTTTTTTTCAAGTCTTCAAGGCTTTTTGTATAGGATCACTGTCCCAGTATGCTGCAATTCCCATTCTTCCTTGATGTGGAACCCTGTCATGGCAGTCTCCAGTGAGCTGAGTTCCATGAAACATACTTTGAATACCCTGATGAAAACAACTAGTGACAGTACTCCCAAGTATTCTCAGTAGTCAAAACAGTCATCTAGGTTTCTATTAGAGCTGTGATTTGCCACATAAAGATGATTTGTTGTCAGGTGTTACTAAGAGTAATCAATTTGCTCTAAGCAATACTTAGAAAATTTACATCTAAACATTTTTTTTCTTTTAATGATTGATGCCTATGTTGCTTTCAAACATGAATACAAAAGCAAATGGCAAAACAATGTAAATAGTAAGACACAACTTTCATGAAAAAAGTATATCACTTTTACATGCATACAAATCTCGACAAGGTAAGAAAAATACTAACAGTGGTTAAACTGGGGGTGATATTTGTAGGGGTGAGTAGGAAGTACATTTCACTGCCAACAGTTCTACCAATTTTTCTTAAGGTATTTTTTTTTTTTTTAATAAAAACAAATTACTTGGTTACGCTCAATCCATGTTGTTAGGGTAGTAGTTCTCATTGGGAGAAGTGGAATACATGAGAGGATCCTGGGATACTGGTAACTTCTGTTGCTTAGTTAGTCATATGGGTATGTTCACTTTGAATATTTATATTAGCACTTATATTTGGGTAATTTTACATTTATATTGTACATTTTACAAAGTTCCTTTAAAATTGTTTATAGTGACATTATTATACTTGTTCTAGCTTAAATGCATTTGTTTTTCTATATATGTTCAATAATTATCTTTCCCCAGGTTCATTCCAATTTATTTTCCTTAATTTATCCTTAACATGGTTGTGTTACCAGTAACTGCAGAGAGATTATTATTAACTTTTATACATGACAAAATCCTTAAGCTGGCAGATAGGAAAATCATCCAAGTCGTATGCTATGAAGTGGAACATAAATATGGTCACTTGATATCTTGCTAGCCAACAATCAGGACTTGGTACAAGGGCTTCTTTTAAAGTATCTAATTACCTAAAATATATGGAAAGGAACTACAGGTGGAAGTGATCGTTAAGTAGACAACACAACCAAAAGCCTATTGACAAAGGATCAGTGTGTATAATGGCTTTCCCTGCAACAGTCCTGTGTGCACTTCTATGAATGTAGGATCTTTGTCAAAGATCATTATTCTACCTCACATTTGGCTAGCCAGATTTTACCTGAAAAGTTTGAATTTTAAGTTGAAAAGTGTGAAGATGGGCTACTTTTTATATTAGGTTCTGGTTTTACATTATTGGTAGTCAATTAACTATTATGCAAATAAATGTTTAAGTTATTTTATTTTGTGGGACAGGTGATTGCTGTATAAAAGTACATTTAACCAATTATTTCTTATGTTCAGAAGAAAAGCAGCACAAACAAGCTAGGTGAATAAGAACAGATGATTAAATTGCAAATCCACTTATTTCTGAATAGCAGGAATGATCAAAAAGCTTTTTCCCATTAAAAGTAAGGAGTCTATGGATTATTTTCAGATGTGGTTCTAGTGCACCCATTTCAGCTAATCTGAAATACAAATCTACAAAATCCACATTGTATATATTCATATTCTATCTAAAATGAGTCTAAAATGTATAAGGGGTAGTAATGACACAAAGGACCAAATATCATAAAATCTATATCTTTAATGTATTTAGTTGCAAGGAACAAGCTAATATTTTATTCATGACAAATATTTAAATAATATTTACAGCTCTTTGGACACATATCTACATTTGTACATCAAAATATTTTTGGAAAGAAAGACATGTATATGATAAGGCCAAATGCACCCTGCATCATAATTTTATCACTTATTTTCAAAATACAGTAATGAAAATTTAACTCACTATTATTGTCTAAACTGTCCTAATGAACTTGTTGTAGCATAAACTAAACCACCATCTGCTGACTTAGAGGTCTCAAAAGACAGTAAATATTCTAGAAACTTAATATATTACACCTTTTTGTTGCAACTTTACATTGCTCAGACACAAAAGAACAAAACAGAAAGAATTTCATTTCCTGTTTGCTGATGATATTTGGGGAAACCCAGATGGTCTTCCTCCCAAGATTTAAATACGTTTCTTAAGAGACACTGGCAATAAATCCTTTTAAAAGCAAACTTGTCGGTTTCATTTTTCTTGGTTTTGAAGTGGCTTATCTTAGATTTTCTTTTGAAATACTTCTTCCAAATTGCCTAGTCATGCTTTGCTTTACTTTATGGATGTTTCGCTTATATTCTAGAGAAGAAATAAATATGTATGGTTTAAGTATATAATTCAAAAATAACCTTCAACATTCATTTGACTTACCAAATATTACTGAAAACTTAAAGTGTAAAAAGGAAAATTTATCCTTAATTTTCAAACATTAACACTCTAGTTTAAAAGTAGAAATTCATTTCCTCATGTTACAAAATGGAGGTAAAATTTTAATTCTCATGGGCACCCACGCACACACCTACCCACACACACACACACAATATCAAGACAAGTCACTGAATAAACTATTATGACTCCTTTCTGAGATAAAATGCCTTTTGTATGCACTGTTCCCTTTATTGCATCATAATTTTTTTTTTCTCAACCTTTGGATTATTTTCTTAGGGCTTTTATACTTCCAAATTTTCCCAATTTAGGAGTATCATTCAAATGTAGTATTACCTGCAGTGCTAATGCTGATTTAATCCAGGGTCTTTCCTTACCACTTCTCCAGCACGTTCTATTTATACCCATTCTTTGTTTTTTTGTCAGCCTTCGCAATGATTCCCTACTCAACACAATATTCTTACCAAGAGAGTCACTGATTTCTTTATGGTCAGTCTAATCTGTTCTGATCACATTAGATTTTAGTTCTACATCGCACATTCCCTTGACATTATATCTTATTTCTCTGATCATTCACTCAGTGGCAGACTCCTTCTTTCCCAATGAAACTATCCCCACCATACCCTCTTTCTTAAATTTGTTCAGTTTAGCGAGCAGTATTATTTGGAGAGCGCAGCCAAATACACTCTAGGGAAGGCAGTACCGATTCTCTTCCTTTTCTGAGAATTCCTGCTGGGTATCTGAACATTTTCATCTGGATATACAATGTACATAAACTATTATCTTCTCTTACTCTAATACCTTTATCTCAGTGCTCCACTATCCTTACCAACACATAATCTTTTAACTTAGGTATGGCTCTTCTTTCCTCATTGTTTGGCAAGTACTATAGTAGGGTATCATCTCTCATTTATTCTCCACAATTTTTTTATTCAGTTCTTTCTACACAAGATATTTGACACATCTTATACTATTCTAAGAATAGATATAAACACATTAGAAAAATGAAATCTTTATTATTTGAATTATCATAAACATTGGTTTTTCCTGGAATTTTTTGGTGGTCTCCAATGGCGGCAGTACATATCTACACATACTATACAGACATGTCATTAAGTTATTAGTAATTTGGCATGTCTAGTCAATTACCACAGCCACAGGCTACCATGAGAAATAAGGACTTAATAAAATTTGGAAAATTTTACACTACTCTTATGGAAGTGAATTGACAGAAAAAGTTAACAACAAATTCTTATCTTATTCTTAGAAATTCATTAGTTCATGAAACTCCATTAAATTTCAAGTGCTATTAGTTATATCTTGAGAGAAGAAACCAAACTGGGTTATAATAGCCTTGGTGTTCACCGCAAAACCTGGCACACAATGTGTAGTGAATATTTCCTGAACGAAGTCCTAGAAACTATAAAGTTCTGGACACCAAGACCTATAAGTGTAGAAAACAATAATGTGGTTTAATACATACATGTATGTATTATATGACATGAACTCATGTCACCCCAACCCCCCTTTGCATTCAGAATACATAGTCACCTCTACCAACATCTTTTTCAACTTGATAGTGGGAGTTATAATTATGGACATGGGTAATCTATGAGATAGAATTAATCATTAATTACTAGTTATAATTTTTAGTTAATTATCTCAATTATAAAATTATCAATTTTTCTGCAATATGAAGCAGAGAAGGTAACAAGTATGGTATATAGTTAAGAAATTTGATTCTGAGGTCTGGAGTCATCATCTGTGTGAGCTTGTACATTTTCTATTATATGTATTAAGTTTCCTTATCTATAATGTGGGTAATCACATTTACTATGTGCTCGACATTATAAGAAGATACAAGCAGATTCTCATCAAAACAATGCTAAGAAATATAAAATACTGTACATGTTAGGTAATCACATCAAATAACAAAGTAAAATGTAAGACATACCCATTATTGGTTTGTTTTCTTGTAAGTGCTTATCACTGGGATTATCTTGTCGAACACGCTTGGCAAATCCAGAATTTACCTCACCAGGTAATGAAGTATTTGATGCAGAACTTAAAAGGAAAGTTCATTTTAGTAAAGCAATTTTTATAGCTCTAATACATGTGCTCCTTTGGAAAAAGGTTGAAGAAAAAAAATGAAATGCTAAACTATTAAGCTGTAACATCCTATAGGAGTAATATACTAAAAAAGATTTTGGTCCACAGGGAAATTTAGCTACGTGTGAATTTGGTGATCTTTATTCAAATTGGTTATTATTATTATGTTAGGAGTATATAACATAGCTCTAAAACAAAACATTTCTTGGTTACTCTGCTGAAATACAAGTGAGCACGGTATTCTTAGAAGTTCATTATTTAATGAAACTCCATCAAATTCCAAGTGCTATTAATTATAATATTAATATTATAATATTACTATACCTTTAGAAAAGAAACCAAACTGGGTTTTAATGGCCAGATAAAGAGTACGTGGTAAGGGATGAAAAATTAACCAGGTCCTTGGAGAAATAATCCTAACCTGAGGAATACAAACAAGTGATGAGAGTCTGGGAACTATTTTTTTTTTAAACCAACTGTGGTAATAGACTGAGAATCTTTCTCAGTTTATATTTATAGAAACTGAAAATTTTAAAATTACATATTTTCATTTGTTTTATCCTCAAAAATTTATATCAATTTTACATTACTGAATGGCCAAATTTCTAACTCAATTTGAATTGGCATATTACTAAACATCTATTATGGGGTATACACAGGATATACAAAGAGACAAAGTACAAACAACCCCACCTGGAAACTTATATAACAAATATAGGGGGCGGGGGGTGTAAAAAGTGAGACAATACACAAAATAACACAAGGGAGAATGAAAAGCGTCCTAAGCATTCAAAACACAAGCTCTGGAAAGTTCCTGATTTTAGAAGCAAGAAAAATGGAGAGATTTTTATGGATGAGATGGGTCTGATCCATGGATGAGATGGGTCTGATGGGTTCCTGAAAAACAGCAATCCTTTGGGGTCAAATGGGAGATGAATATTCTCTCTCTACTCTGATTTAATTAAGTTATTTTTAAGGAATTTAACTAGAAAGATGTATGATACCACTTTACAAGTTGATATTAATTTTTTTTTTTGTCAGACTAACAGCTGGAGGCTCCTGTTTTGTGACATTAACCTGCTTCTCTGGCAATTTTAACCATGTGGTAAAATGATACAGGTATGTATTTGAGGAACAGGAGAAAAATGGTTTAGTTGAATGGTCAGTGAAGTAGCTGAAAGTAATCAGAAATGGTAATATGATAGCAAAGAAAATAGGCATAATCGCATTGAATGCTGGGAAAAATGACAACCTATGTAACTTAATCTTCTATAGCATGTTAAAGTAAGATTACTATGCTTATAAGGTGGTAGTGTCCACTCTATTTAAAAGTGCTAATGATAACTATCTGGAATGGTTATAGAGAAGTACTCGTGTTAGGAAAGTAAAAAAATTCAGATTTATTTATTTATGCATACAAGAATTGGGGTACAGGCCAGAGATGTGGTGGGGTGAGAGGACTCACCAGAAACAAGAGTGGGGAGTAGAACAGGCAGATCTGCTGAAATATACTGCTGAAGGGATCAGCGAGCAAGATAGGAGAGGTCTGCCATGTGCCATGTGGGTCACCACCCTGGGTAGGGATCAAACTCATGCTTTAGTGCTTCATATAACTTCATAGTGCTACACTTTAACGTGTGCCATCCTGGAAGGCCCCTAGAAATTCTATCTTTTTTTTCAGAAATTCTACTTTTTAAATGGTACTAGATACATTTCTACAATTCTGTTCTGAATACCGTTTTAAAAAACTGATTTATATATATATATTTTTTTAAGATTTATTTATTTGTGCATACAGAACTGGGGTACAGGCCAGAGGCTCAGGGGCGGCAAGAGGCTTCACCAGAGACAGAGTGGGGAGCAGAACAGGCAGATCGACGAAGTACACTGCTGAGGGGAGCAGCGGGCGGGTCAGGAGAGGTCTGCCACGCCATGTGGTCACCTCTGGGGCAGGCGGAAATCGAACTCATGCGGAAGCCGCTTCAGATTCTCAGTGCTGGGCTTTAACCCGCTGCGCCACCAGGGAGGGCCCTGATTTATAACTTTTAATTTAAATAAAATTTTAGTAATTTACTATCAGTTCATAGTACTATATATAATTGTGGGGAATATTCATTCTCACTATCAGACTGAGTCCCTCCCTCTCTCTGCTCTAGTAATCACCATATTTTTCAGCCTAAGTGACTTTTGTTGTGATTTGCTAGTTTGTTAGCATTGGGTATTTATATTCTACACTGTCTTTTACTTTGTGACTTATTTTGCTTAGCATAGTCACCATCAGTCCTCTATAAGTGCATTCTCAAGAGGCAAGATTTTATCTTTTTTTTTTTAAGATTTATTTATGCATACAAAACTGGGGTACAGGCCAGAGGTTCCGGGCAGTGAGAGGATTCACCAGAGACACAGTGGGGAGCAGAACAGGCAGATTGGTAAAGTACACTGCTGGGGGGAGCAGCAAGTGAGACAGAAGAGGTCTGCTGTGCCATGTGGGTCACCTCCTGGCCCAGAATGGAAATCACATTAAAAAGGCTGCAGACAGCTTGCAGTGGTGAGCTCCAACCCGCTGCTTCACTACGGAGGGCCGTTATCTTTGTTTTATTAAAGCAGAATAGCATTCCACTGAATATCGCTCTCTATCATGCCATTAATGCAGTCATCTATTGATGGGGAATTATGTTTTTTCATGTCTTGGCTATTGTGAATAATGCTGCAATGAATATAGGAGTACATATACATTTTTGAATCAGTCTTAACATATTTCTTGGACAAATACCTAGTGGTAATATTGTTGGATCATACAGTAATTCTGCTTTTAGGTTTATAAGGAATCTACATATCTTTTTCTATAGTGGCTGCTCCAATTTGCATTTAAAAACAGCCTAACACCCCTTTTTGATTATCTATCAGCTGAGGCAAATATATTTTTTGGATCATTTGGTGATTTTACTTCTTCAAGAATAAAGATCAATGTCATTGGTTACTTTTTGTAAGTATTATCTTGACTTGCAGTTTATCTAATAGATGTTTTTACTATTTAAAGTGAAGCATGATTCTTCACTTTAGTTAATTCTAAAGTAGGCTTTTGAATAATTCTATTTGAACAAAATACATATTTCCAGGAATGTAATCAAAGTCTAATAAGTTGTATATTTACATATAAGTCAAAGACACTCAATTATTATTATTTGGATAAGGTTTCCATTGATGAAATGTTTAACATTTATGTTAGATGCTAAAATTTAAATATTTACAATTGGTGTGGGGGCAAATTCAAATTATATTAAGGTCTTTATTGAGACTCAGCTGTCCACCAGAAATAATTCAGAACTATTAATTATAAAAATTAAGATTTAATCCTTTGTTCTATCATATGGGTAGAATATTGTTGCTTAATGAAGACAACAGATCCTATATTATCTCAGTTGATATAATTTCTAGGTGGAATCATTAGATCTTTCATATGAAATCAAAGATATATGGCAAGTATAACACCATTTCTGGGTGTCAAAGTTATGGAACAAAGAACAAAGCAAACAAAACCCCCAAACTGTGATTAATTTGTAAGTACATTCTTACATATAAGTATAATCTTATATTTGCTAGGATGATTCAATAAGATGACTCACTTTATTGAAATAGCCTGCTCTAGTTGTAGTAAATAAATTGGTATGATTACAATGTCAATATTCTCAATTTAAGTAGTAAGTGAAAATTCAGTTTTGAATATCCAAAGAATGCTTTGGACTTTCTTTCCTCAGAGAGAAGAGCTCATGTCAAAAATAAACAAACAAACAAAAAACCCACCCCCAAACAGATCAAAAACTATACATGGAGTCTTCCCTTCTTTATTTTTAATAGCCATATTAGAATATATGGATGCCTAAATATGTACATAAACTCTTAAGTGGAAAATACCAGTTTATTACTCTTCAAATTTCAAGACTTAATTGGGGAAAAGGAAGATTAAAAAGAAACATAATTATGTACATTTCTAGCAATAATCTCTTTAACCTTAGTTAATGGCAGGATCTAATTAATGGTACCAGAAGGAACATAATAGAGCAATCAATAGACTATAAGAAATTTTACTTTCTTTAATTCTTTCAATATTATCTCACAATAGTAATAGCTCATATGGAAGCCCTTTAACTTAGATATCTAAGAAAACTCCAAATATTCCAGTTACATACCAGGACATTTCTTAAAAAAAGTCATTTGATTTTGATAATGACTGTCTTTATACCTAAGTGGTCTCATTTACCGGAGAAATGAGGAACCAAATAATGAATTGGGGGAAAACAGTAAATATAATAAGCAAAAAATCAAAATCATCAGGCAACTACATTTAGAAATAGTTCCTAGCTATAAACTTGTCACATCTTAGTTACTTTTAGGAAAAAAATCAATGCATTAATTTTAAATCTATGTATTCCAAATCTCTACTGTACTTTGGAGAGGAAAGGATACATCCTTTCTCTATGCCATAAATAGCTTCTTGTAAATTTGTTTACGCTGGTCCAGGTCTATAACTTAAAAAAAGTTATCTTAAGTTTATAGTTTTTCCCGCCACAACTGCATACCAAAGAAAAATAGATAAGTCATTACATTTTGCAACATATATATACTATTATCTTGTCATTGAAATCAATGTTAAATAATGGACTTCATATCATGTAGGTCAGTGTATTTAAAAATTTCCTTTTATCTTTGGTTTTAAGCTGTTTTAATGCTATGTTCTTATGTAAGTATCTTTGCATTAATGCTGCTTGTGAGTTGCACTGATTCTCAAGTCTACATTTTTGTCAGCTTTGGAAAATTATTAGTGTCTCCTCAAATACTGTTTTGTCCCCATTCCTTTTCTCTTTTTTTTCTGGGATTCGAGACACATACATGTTAAACCTTTATAAATTGTGTCCCATATCTTTTTCTTCTCCATAATTTCTATGGAAAATTTGTACATTGTTTTGGACATTTTCCATTAACTTATCTCCTAGTACACTTGATCCATTTTTGCAGAATCCAGTTCTTTGAGAAACTGTCTAATCGCCAATTTTCATGAAATTAATCACAATTAAAAATTTCAAAGTCCTTATCTCATAATCTCAGTATCTACATCATTCATGGATCTCTAAATTTTTTTTCCTATTGCTTCTCAGTCATTTCAGCCTGTCTCCTGGTACACATACTAATGTATGCTACAGTGCTAAATACTACATATGAAAAACCATAGAGGCTCTGGAAGGAATATTATTTCAGATATGATTTAATTTTTTTCTGGAGAGCAGACAAAGTAGAGATAGATCACCTTCATTCAAAACGCGATTGCATATGTTTAAGGTTTATTTTTGGCTCTCAAGAGCTTCACTTTTTCTAATTTGCCCTACTCCTTGAACACATGACTCAGGGGGTTCAAATAAAATCCTGGTTATCCTGGGTGTTTAATAGGTTCTTTCTCCGTGATGATCAATGAACAACAATTTCAATGTCCTACATCCATGAGAATATCTCTAAACAGTTTTGCCTCTTAGCAGTTACTTTCAGCTTATAATCGTGCCCTCTCCACTTCATAGTTTATAAGTTGGTGAATGCCAAGAGGGCAAAAGCTGCATAAAATGATTTTGCTTCCATAGCTCAGTGAGACTGATAGCTCTAGGTTTCCATTTTCTGTCTGCCCTCTATACTTAGGAACTGGCAATGCTAAATAGAAAAAAGAGGCAGAGAGGGTGTGGCTCTCCACAGCTTATTTTTCTTTTCTCTGGGATCTTAGACTCTCAACTTCTGGCTGCCTTTGATTGTTTTCCAGTACTTTCAAGCAGTTGTTAGTTGTATCTTACCAGGTTTTAAAAAGATTTATTTATTTATGCATACAAGAACCGGGGTGTAGGCCAGAATGCGCGTGTGAGAGGGTTCACCAGAGACAGACTGGAGAGTAACAGGAGATCTACTAAAATACACAGCTGAGGGGAGCAGCGGGCAAGACAGGAGGTCTGATGTGCCACGTGGGTCAGCTCCCTGGCTGGGACCGAACTTGTGCTGAGTGGCTGGCAGTAGCTTAAACAATGTGTTTTTAACATTGTGCCACTAGGGAGTTCCCTCTTACCAGTTTTTATAACTGTTCTTGATGGGTATCTGGGTATCAGGCAAGCTACATTGTCATACCCACATACAGAAGCATCCTAATCTTTGCATTTCAATCATATATCAGAATCCATTAAAATAATTCTAGAACTGAATAATTCATTCCTTTCTAAAAGTAAAATACCAAATGAATAAAAACTGTCACCATAACAGAAGTTAAAGACTAAAAGATTTCACTTTTTTTAAAAAAAAATATGAAATAGGAATGCTTAAGGTAAATATCAAAGACATACAGATTTGGGTTTATCAGGAGCTTCTTTTGATAATATAAATCCAGTGCCTCATTCAGGGCAACTTATTATATAAATGCTTAAATATGATACAAAAATCTAGTTACAAGAAAAAGAACTGTAGGAAAAAGTCTGAAGGTAAACTTATGTGAATATAAAGACTGAGTCCATTTCCCCATACCTTGTTAATTTCCGTTTCCTCTTGGCAGCAGCAGTCATTGCCATATAGGATGGTACAATGTTTGGCACAGTCAGAGAATGTTTAGTTGAAAATGAAGAAGGGGCAAGCCTGTATATTGAATAATGAAAAATAAAAATAATTTTGATTTGCACTATGGAGAAAAGTGGTAATATATAATCCCATAATTAAAACATCATTTACTGTGTGAGGAAAACATACCATAAAACTTCTCTTATCTACCTTGAGGTTTATTTCTTTTCCTTTTTACACAGTAGCTAAGAGAATTCTATAATTTCAATAACAGAGAAACTGTTAACACTATCACTCTTCTGTTATTTAGATGAGTTGTGATTATAAAGACAAAGTAAAACGGATATATTTGCTTGGATGACATGTAGTCAACAATGTACTAGAGATTTTTGACTATTTCAGAGTTAGCTGAGATTTGTTAAACTTTAATAAAAGATATGGAATTCCCTTCAGTGAAAATATTAATGACTAATAAACATGGTAATCCTCCAAAGATGACTTGTATTAATTACAGAGTATGTAAAACAGACAAAAGGTCTCTCAGACTTAATAAGGGTCACTAAACTGAAGATATCAACTTAAAAATTTTAAAGAATTTTTAGTGGATTATTATTTAGAGAGAAATGAAGGTAGAGAGTATATTTACTTTTATAATTCCAACAGTATATCTGATCTATGAAATAAATCTCAAATATACCTAAAGAAGTTAAAAAAATCGTTTAAAGGTTGTATAAAAACAACAAAAGAATTGACAAATATTCTTTTTTTGTACCTTTGTAAAGAGTTATTGTTGGGTTGAGATTCTTGTTCATGTAATTTATTCAACAAGTTCCTGTTATCTTCACATATGGTAAATGTAGAGTCCAAATCCTCCTGTCCACATTGTTTTCTCCTATTAACATGGTTATCTACTTCACAAAATATTTTCAGAGAATTATCACAGTTCATATGTGAGTTGACAGCCTGAGAATTTGTAGTATCTGATGATGGTTTTAATAAGGTCACTGCAGATGGATTTTGAAAAGTTTTTCTGCAGTCTTCTGGAGTATACACAATAGGTTGAAGTTCTTTGCTGAGAGAATCATTGAGCTGTGTACTTTCAGAATATGAAGACATCTGGGTATGTTTTCCTTGTAGGGGAGAAGGCATTAATTTTCTTCTAGTTCTTTTTTGTGGAGGAATTTTAGGTAGATTAGACTCACTTGAAGAAGTGCCTGTTCAGGAAAATTAAAAAGATGTTACATAGTTCTTCACTAACTCCACCATTAAACAAAAGGTACATTTTTTAACAAATAAAAATTTGAAAGAAAATAAATGATGGGGGGGGAACTTGGTTTATTGTTAATACTTTTCAACATAGTTAAACTCAATTTAAAGAGATTCTATAACAAAACAATCAATTGCTAATATCAATATCAATTTATATATATATAGTTACCTGAACCACTGGACAATCATGAAAACAAATATCCAACCAAAATTTCATAAAGCAACTTTAGCTTTGAAGTGTGATTTAGGTTCAAGATAACAAAAAATATACTCAACATTTATTAAGTAGAGATTAGTAACTTGTTTTATTAGCATACTGCCAGTTGATTACTGAGTGGAAATCTACTTACATTAACAAAATTGGCAATGATTACAATAATTATTGTAACAATTATAACAATAATTATAACAATTATTGGCAATAACCAATAAAATCCCACAAGAATGAAACAACTGTATCTTTTACAATCACAGATATGGTAGTTCATAAAGCATTTTTGTTGACTGTTTCCTATACCCACATGGCCTATAGTTTTGTACTTATTATCATATTAATTAATTAGATAGCATCAAAGATAAGTGGAAATATTTTGAAGCATACAGAGCACTTTTACTTCACTATTGTTCTATAAAAGTAAGTCTCTTAAAAGAAGTTAACAAATTTAATGAACTTTCCTCAGTGCAATCCCACAACTGTTGTTTTAAAAGAATGATCTATAACCTCTTCAATATTCTATCTCATTTTCCCCTCCATCCAGTAAATATATACATTTCCTTAAGAAGCTGTACTTGACCACCTAGTCTTCTTATTTCGCACACTCTTATTTCTAATTGTCTTCTCAAGTCACTTCACTCTCAAATAACTTATTTTTTCTTTTTTTCTAACTTCTACCAATTCCACCTCTCTTAACACTTACAGTAAAAATCATAATTATGGGCATACCATTCATCTAACTGAAAAATTTTGGTGACTTTTCTTATAGTTCTTGATTAACATTTTTTTTTTTTTTTCTGTGTTGCCTATGTCAATCTAGGGAACTTTACAGTGGCTGACATGAAGTAACTTTGGTTGGGGTATATTGCTCAGGGAAGAAACTATAATGTGTATTTTTGCCCAAGCTTTCAAATCATGCAATAAATTAGCCAAATGATGTTCTATTTGCTGTACAATATAATACTCACTTAAATAACACGGAAAGTTGTATTTCAATGAAGAATTTCAAATTTTCAATTAAATTTAGAAAGTACACTATTAACAACCATCAACACTACCTGCATTATTCTTATTAGTTGACAATAGGCTCTGGTACGGCTAGGCTGACAATTACCCTCTAGGAAATACAATTTAAAAACAGGAATAAAAATATGATCCATGTTCTACTAAAGAATTTTACTTTTCTGAGAACTAGATAAATGAGATCCAGATCTTAAAATAATTTTCCACTCCCTTTAACATGACATTTGTCAAATTTTCCATTACCAGATATTTTTATACTAATGCAGCAGTGTAAAGACAGTTACTTTTCTCCACTGTGCTGCTACCACCAATTTGGTGGCTATTAATAGCTGGAAGATTAACTTCTTTTCCCCTGAGAGGCAGCAGGGGTATAGAGGATAGAAAACTATATCGAGGATAGAGAACTGAACTGGGAGTCAGGAGACTTGGATTCTATTTCTGGCTTCACCAACGACTCACTGAGTGACCTTGGGCAACTCACTTAAGCAGTATGGACATTAATACCCCTAGAAAAATGGGAATACTACCTTTTTATGCACTAGGAATTTTCTAGGATTAGATAATAACTGTAAAGTACTAGGGTTCAAGAAAGGTCCTAGAAGAGAAATAAGCTTCAACTATTAGCATTACTGCTTTCATAGGGAAAGTTGCAATTTACTTTCTAGTATCCCATCAATACCTAACACAGAGGTCACCAAAACAGTACACTTCAATAAGGTCTCATGTCCAGTTTATCAAGGGTAGCAAATTATAATTTAAAACAAAGGTATTTTTAAAGCAGGCACATCTAAGTGTTATTTGAAAATGCTATTTTTATTATATTCTAAAACTTTGAACAAAATGGAACATGAAGTCTCAAGGGATAAGAATTTCAAAGTCACTATTTTTCTTACAGATATCTAGAGAGTGATAATGTCCAGTGTGGCACTGGATAAATTCCCATGATGGGTGGATCATTTTTCTCCTACTACTAATAAAAAGCATGAAAATAGGAGTCTTCCTTAACATATTGAAGACATACACAAATATTTCCCGGGGTGATCTAAATATATACACACCCAACTTCAAAATTTGATAAGATCAAACTGAGTAACAGTTTGTCAGTGAAAACAATAGTGATATCACAATGATTTATCTTTAGCCATAATTCTGCTCTTCAGGAAGGATATGAATAATTTGAAGGAGAAAGACAGAGATGTAGTAGTTAACAGAGATTTACACACCATGGTTTTACTGGCTACAGACATACAGCATGTATAGAATAAAAATGCAGAGTGTTCTAAAAAAAATTCTATTATTAAATACAAATAAAATTATAAGTGAGTAGAAAATAACAGACGGGCAATTCATGTCTGTATATTAGGCTAACTAGTTGGTAAGGAAAATTCAAGAAATAACCAGAGCAAGAGCAAGATTTAAAAGCTTTAATAAAATTCAACAATAAATCCACTGTGACTACAGTAGGTAATAAACTCTATTTACACATGAAAACTCTAAGAATACAAATGACATTTCACTTTAAATATACTTTCCAGAATATATAAATATAAGTAACATAAAAATAAGTAATATAGGTAATTAATGACAAGAAATCTTTCTCCTTTAACTAAAGAAAATGATCAAGTATTTTAAGTGGGTCCAAGAGATTTGAGACTGTTGGGTTCGGGGCACTGTATACTTAACAGGCTGTAAGAACCACTGATTAGAGTAGGGGCATGTTGGTAAAAGAAACTGCTGTACTTTTCCGTTAGAGTATGTACAGTAACTTTCCAGAAAAGCATGTTTGGGGCAGTTCCCCTTATTCAGTCTGGGAAAATACTACTTAACAATTCTTGGCTCTACAGTGTAGATGATAAAGAAGGAACCTGGAAGCAGATTACAATTTCTTTTAAAAGGCCCCATAAAAGGGACTCTAACAACTAAAATGCCTCAGCAATGTGAGTAGCACATAGGAGGGGAGAGATTAAAATTAAAAATGAATTTTTCTAAGTAGATTCTTGTCAACTGGGATAGAAAAGATAGATAGCTACTTGGGAGGGCAACAATCTCCTCTCTAGGGTCTCTTTCTCTAAGGTAACAGATTACACATCATACTTAAGCATAGGAGTTAGTCAATGTATCTTGTGGTCTAAAAAATTTGCTATATTTAGACCAACTCTCAGGACTTCAAATCTTTAGCATATTTTAAGAGTATTACATATTTATGGCCCTGAAATGGTTTTATACAGGGAATGTATTCAACTATGAATATTTTTTGACATTGATCTCCAAAGCATAGTAATAATCATAATGTCAAGCTATTGAAAAGAAGTCGTTGCTATTATTTAAAATCCAGAATCAATGTTTTAGTAATAGAAGAAAAAAGGTATCAGAAGGCTAGTCATTCCTTTACATTATCTTTTACTGTTTTAGTGAGTTTTCTCTGTGCTAATTATAAGCATACTTTGCCCACAACTTACTGACGAATCTAAAAACTAAGGTCTTCTAATAATTCAGATGCTATGTTCCTCACCAATACACAATACTGAGTATCTGCCAAAGGGAGAAATAAACCATTTATGATAAAGATTAAGTAATATGTGAACTATCCACAATTTGCTGTTATTTAAAACCATCTATTACAGATAATCTGATATGGAAAAATGTTCATGAAATGAAGAAGCATACTAAAGTTACATACGGTATTATCCCAATGTTGAGAAGTCAAATAATCAACAAAACCCAAATTAAAGCAGATAGCTAAAGACCTTGAAAGCCAAAATGAAATGAACACACACATGCACACCAACAACAAAAAAAAACACTTCAAAAACACAAAACCATGGGGGTGAGTAGGTAATAACAGAAAACTGGCATAATCAATGCAAATATTAATACAGTTTATGGCTGACTGGGAAAATTCTGAGTGACTTTACTTTTATCTTCAAATATTTGGTTACTCTATAATAAATAAAATGTCACTACTTTAAAATTTTAAATAATACAAAATATTAAAAAAAAATCATTGTCTAGGGGTAGGCAGGATGCAAAAATATCCAACAACTTATACCCTTTCTTTCAAGTTTCAGAGGCATGAGACTGTTCTTGAAGCCACAGAGTGGAGTTAAATAAGATAATTGTTGAAAATCTGTATAATGTAGTCAGATCCTCTCAATCTTCTTATCACACCACTTCCACTATCAGGTGACTGACTGTTCTGTCACGCTGTTAAAGCACAAGGGGCTGTAGTCTCTGGAAAAGCTGCAAACTTGGGACCAATATATACAGCTGACAATAAGAGAACTAAGTAAATTATTAACAGTGAATGTCTGCAGAATATTATCTCAGTTTACTAAAATACTTGCAGCCAGCCTTACACAACATCTAAATGAGAAATCAGTGAGTTGTTTATAGATTAACCATACAGTAAAAAAGACCTAACCACTGACTTCCTGTGCCCTGCTTCTCCAAAGCTGACTGGAGGGAGGCTTTCTGTAAGAAAGGAACACAGTAAGAAATATACAGTGAAAGGCATATGCCAAACATAAACTGTAAAAGCTCTTCAACAAAGAATTTATGCAGTTCTTGGCTTACCAGGGAACAATATTTATGTAATACACTCAAGAGATTTTACTAGGGGGAAAAAAGGTGAAAATCTGTTTTGGCAAGATGGAGTAAAGAAGGAAATATATGTGTAATATAAAGGTGTTAAATTCTTATCTTTCAAGT